ACTTTGCAGGACAGGAAGGGAGGGAACACCCAGAGAGCGAGAATGACTCAAGTAGCCATGCAGAGCAGAGCAAACCTGGGCTGGAGTCATGACACAGAAGGAAGGGCTGCCCTCGGCCTCCATGTCCCTTCTCTTCTGTTGTGCTAGGGCGCAGATTTGAGGCCGAACACACTGGTCAAACAATGTGCATCTGAGCTGACAAAGGCCCTCAACTTAAACTTTCCTCCTTAATCCCAGTCAATGCAGCCCAACCCCACAGCTCAGATAGCAAGCTGACAGAATGTGGGGCAACTGTCCAGATCTTAAAACAATCTACCAGGAGACTAACACACAAAAGATGATGCCAAGTGAGGGCCAGAATGCAAAGCAGGCTAGGGCCCCGAAGCCCTACCCTCAACTCACCAGGGTCTCCTCTGTGTACTTGATGGACTGGGTGTGGTGCCTCATGAAGACCACAGTGAGGGAGAGGTAGACAACAGCAAGGACAGCATGTACCCAGATCAGGTTATTCCTGAGGGGACATTGTCTCCATTATAGCAGATTCTTCCAAGGGTTCAGTGAATACCAGGGAGAGGCCGGGCCCCACTGGTCTCCCTGCACACTGAGGCCCCTGCAATACTCACCGACTGGCTGCCCAGCAGCTGGGAAGGTGTCCGGACACCACCCTGCCCACCCTGGCCTGTGTATCTGCCTCCTCTGTCTCCTCATGGACTTGCCCATCTGCGACCCTCTCCCAGGGCTCACACTCACTGGTTCTCCAGGTTAGCTATGGTCGTCCTTCCGAAACTGTAGGGGTCTTTGTCTGTGGAGAAGCACAGAAATGGAATTCCAGGGCCATGATGGGGAAGGAACATACCTGCCTTGGCTAAGGGAGCTCTAAGGAGGTGAAAGACAGTCCAAGACCAGTGTGCTCTGTGACACCCACAATCTTTGTGGAGGTGCAGGTGCATGTCAGGGCCACTACTGGGCTCCAAGGTGCTCCCTGACAACTTCTCAACCTGCCACACCGAGGGAGAGTTTACATTCTGCTCCCTTGGAGATGTTTTTCCTTTTTAACTGCTTTGATACAACTCAAAATATGCTAAGGTTACCAAAACAAAAATATGGAGTCACTAGGCATACAATGTTTCCAAGTGGCATTTGGAAACTGGAGAGATATAATTCCACGCTGATACTGACTGAGCGTCAGACATCTTCTTGGCCCAGAAATTGTGGCCTCCTCAGTGGGGCTAAGACAGAAAAACGTAAAACATTTTCTGAAACCACTTGATTCTATCAACCGCTAGGTTTAAAAAATCCTATTTAGACAGAAAGAGAATTTTGTCTTAGGGGCCCCAGCTCTAAGCCTGGATTTGGGGCCGATTCTGCTGCAGATCTGCACTCACACAGGAACCTTCTCAGGCATCCCAAGGCTCTCTTCCATCTGGAATGGAGCTTGACTCATGGGTTCTGCTTTACCACATGAGCTTAGACGCCAGGGCCACCCCTGTCCCTCTCCAACACTGTGTAGCAGGACACACAGCCAGTATGCTTCAGTTTGTTAGGTGCCCAGGTAACAGTTTTGCTTCCAGTTCCTGTTTTGTTTCTGAGAAGTATCTATAGCTGGTCGTTAGGATGCATATTGTAAGAACCAATCCCTAACTGACAAGCTGTTCTGCCTCTGTATTTTCTGCTTGCTTACCCTTTCAGCCCTATACTACCAGAGTTCAGGGCCTGATGTTTTGAAAATGATCCTAAGCAGTGCCTGTTGACACAAATACATCTGCCACCAAATCCTGGGTGTCACTGTGGTGTTTCTGTTTTCTATTGCGATAGACAGATGTGAGAATGGGCTCTTACCCAGAAGGTTTCCTGAGAGGTTCACTGGCAGGATGATGCACAGGGACAAGGCACTGACCACCACCAGCAGGAAGATGAGGTGCCTTTGGAAGGACAGGTAGTGGATGGCGTCCTCCCCACACTTTTCCAGGATCTGGTCATCACTGGCCAGGAGACATGGAAGAAATTGATGTGATAGATGAGACTGTGTGACCTAGCCCTCACAGCAACCCTAGGAGATGGTGTGCTGTCCTGTCTTATTTTTTGATTTAACCAACAAAGGTCCAGAAAAATTGCCCATGCCCTTGGTCCCTATACCACACTGGAGGCTCATGAATGGCCTTCTTCCCCCTTATGGAGCTGAGTACATCTGTGCCCATCACACACATATGGGTACGTGGAGCTCGGCAGCCCACAACCCTTCCTACTTTCATGGGAACATGGCACAGGAACTGCCTTTACAATGCAGCTGGTCCACGCATTGGCCCATGAGCCCCTACTCTAGTCATCCCAATGCCACTGTACCTGACTTGTACTTCATTCCTTGTTGTTGCCAAGGCCCCAGAGATGGGAGGTGGCCAGCTCCACACACCCGACCTATGAAGTGCCATGTGAGCAAGTGCTGGGTTCAGCAGCACATGGATACTCTTGTCTCACACAGGCAGACTCCCTTGCTAGAGGGAAAGGGACTGCACTCACCCTTTGCCCATGTGGCTTCCCCAAAGCCAGCAGCACTGGCATGGAAGGGCCGGGACATGAACCCAGCCTCCTCTCCCACCTCTGTTCACAGCATAGACATTGCCTACCTCGTTCATGGTCTAGCAGGCTGAAAGAATGAGATCAGGCACCTGATGTTGAGCTGGGCCCTGAAGATGCTGAGAAATGTGCTTGGGAATGAGTCCTGCATGCTACTTCTCCCCCAGACATAGGTATGCAGTGAACAGCATCATCTCACTTAAATTATCCACACCTCCTTCTGTATCCTGACAGCCACTTTTATTCTCAGTCTCCACATAATGCATGAGGAGCAGGCATCTTGGCTCTGTCCTTCTGAGTGCCCAAGTGCCTGGATAAGAGAGCCCAAGTGAAGCCACGTGACCCCAACTACTACCCCAGGTACTCACTGCAGACGGAAGATGGCCATCAGCCAGGGGCAGCATCCCTGGAAACAGAAGGGGATTAGCACACAATAGCTGGGAAGGGGAGAGTCAGACGGCTTGGAAATTAAGTAAACACTAGCTTCTTGCTAGACAAACACCATTTCTCCTCTTCATCAGAAAGCTGCTACTTGTCCAGATTTCATAGCTTGCTTCCCCTGGGCCTTGGCAAGGTGCACCCCATGTCTGAGTCTTCCACTGAACCTCCACATTCTGATAATCTGAGGCTTCCGGCCATGAAACTAGGATCGAGAGACAGTGCAGCCTGGTGTGCTCTGGAGAAAGGGATATGGACTTCTGCTGCATTGTTTGTAAAGGACCAGACTGAAAGTGGGATAAGGAAAGGAAACGAGTCTAATTAACTGGACAGTGCCCTGCAGTGGGTTTAGTGAAGCAGCAGGACAGGTGTAGATTTTATTGACCTTCACGCTTTGAAACTTTCTACTCTGTAAAGCTGACCTGTTACCCAGTTGGGGAAGAAAATACCTGCTCACCATTTAAATATTGAATTTTGAATATTTGAACCCAACAACGACTAGGTACCTACTGGGTACCTGGTGCTGGGGAGAGGACTAAATAAGCCAGGGTTTAGCAGACAGCACAAGGCAAACCTCAAGTGTAGGACATAAACTTGGGGGAGGCTGGGATCCCCCAGTTCTCTCTGCCTATGAGTCATCAAGTCTCCGAATGCCGAGTAGTCAGGTTGCACCTCTCCTGGGTGATGCTGTGGGCAGAAGCCTTTGTTGATGTGGAGGGCAGCCCTGCCCAGCTCTGGTCACTCCACAGCCACAGGGGACACCCCAAACCACCAACTACTACCTGATGCCAGCCTGGCCACAGCCCCACTGTTCCTTGGTTACAAACCTTCTCATTTTCAAAGTCATTCTGCTCCGTGGAAGTGAATGACAATCTCTCGAATCTGGACTTACTAGAGACACAAAACAAAAAAAGTGACAGATGAGTCCACACACACACACACACACACACACACACACACACACACAAATAGAGGTCAAAAATATTACGACCAGCATTTTCCTGCCTATATTAAAATTTGGTACCAAATTTATCGGCTCTCAGTGGCCAGGACAAAAAGAAATGACCATATGAAAGACCAAAGTATAAAGAGCA